AGTGAGATCTCGGAGACGTTGGCGTTGGAGAGATCAAGTCTCTCAAGAGGAGTGTTGTCTGGGATGGAGACTGAGGGCCGCCTGAGTCTGGCGAAGCGACCGCGGCCCTTTGCGGGCACCGGATCACGGGTAGGAGCCATGAGGACGGTGATGAAGATGTGTGAGATGGAGATTCGCTCAAGAGCCAAGTAGCTCTGGTAAATGATAATGTTATTCTTTTTTTTTGGGATTTCTCAAGTTATGTGCCAAGCTGGACGTCTGATCTGGGGGTGGTGGACTCTGCGAGTGACATTGAAAGTGTATTGGTAAGGTGATGAGGGGTAAAGTTGCATATCGGGTCTGCTCGGATCTACAATCAAAGAATGATGAGATCGGAAGACGAAGTCTGAATGTGGAGGCAAGTTGGTTTTGTTCAGAATATCCAGAGTATAGTGTTGTGGGATGGAAGAAGGGGGAAAAAGGGAGGCGGAGGGTGATCTACGTACAGGAGCCCAACCGGCAGAAAATGATATTCGACACTGCCCGCCTTCATCCGTGGCCTCCCACCAGCGCGCCTACCCCCGTCCAATAGGGCACATACGTCAAAAAAAACAAGTTCGGGGGGTCTCTCGACTTCTCGTCCGCGAGCGACGGGACACGGGATAGTCGAGCCAGATGAGCCAGCGTCAGGGATGAGGCGTGGCACCAGAGCGGGACTCCCAACTGGCCCTCCACGGAACCGTTTGGCGGGATGCCCAGCTTACATCCGGGACACAAAGTAGCGTCGAATATTGCAAACGAAACGTCGTCACTCCGTCGCCCTTCGGGCAGAGGGGGCTTGGGTGATTGGGCCATGCCACTGTCAGGAGGAGCAAACCCTGCTTTTCCTAGTCTATCGGCCGTGTTCACGGTCTACGGCGTACACCCCCATGGTTTCTCGAACCCCCCTGTCTAGACTCCATCGACGCTTCCCGCCTGCCGGGGACTAAAAAGCGGGAGACTGGGGGGGGTGCCACCATCCATCAGCTTGGGCGAATGGGTTCGGGTTCTGAACAGGACTGAGTCTAAGAATACAACTTTGCAATATCCCTAAGTGGCGATGAACATGTGTAAGTCTCCCGTTGCTGGGCGGATTTGAATCTTTCTCGATACTGCGGTCAAGCTTTGAGGCCAACTGCTTCCGTTGGATCTCTGCTGTGTTTGGCGGCATGTTCGTACCTCCACCCCCTCACTATTGGAAAAAGAACCGCCAACGACTTGACGGCGGTTGTCCGTTCTGATGTCCATTCTCATGCTTTAGCTTGCTCTGTCGAGGGCCAAACAGGCTTCAAGCCCTATTTTGCCGGGGCCGAACGGGCCACCAAAGGCAGAAGAAAACGAATCAGAGAGTCTTTTGCAGGCTGGGATGAGTCAGGAATTTTGGGGAAAAGACATGGGCTTCACAACCAGTCGATTTGGGCAGGGCAAACAGGCGGAAATGAATTCGACTGGCGGCCGTCTATTTTCTCTTTCTCCTCCCGTTTGTGCGCATGGTGTTGTGGGTTGGGCATCGTTCACTTTGCTTTACTTGGGCTAGGCCGAGACAGTTGGGACGCAATAAACGTGGGATGGGCCACTAGAAGACTGCACGTTCCCGGAGCCGACAGGGGACCATGACTTGGACGTGGTGTTGTTTGATTCGTCCGCTTTGCGGGCCGAGCCATGTCGTCGAGTCCGGACCCTGGCCGGCTTGTTGCCGGCCTCCTACTTCATTGTAGGTAGGCTCAACAGAGGCCTGCTCATTTGTCCAGTCTCCACGAGTATAAGGCATCATGGAGGTTGGGAAGTGAACTGAAAATATGGCTGATATCAGGCGGGATGTCTTCGCCCGGGTGCGTGGCTTATATGGTGGCAACAGCTTGAACAACGTGATCGGATCCTGATGTCTGGCTTATCAGATGGAGCACTCAAAGTGGGCGGCGATAAACTCGTCCCGCTCTCGACATTCGGGGGCTGGAATATCCACGAGCCCCTCATCAGTCTCCATTGGCCGACGGCTGATTCAAGTGGCGACGTGTCTCGTGCAACAAGTAACGCGAACCTCGTCAGGCGATACCCATAGGAAGTCTGGATTCTGGAACCATTGAGGAATACAGATGGAACCTCCGGATTCTAGGTGGAGACGCGTCCGTCGCTGTTCGCGCATACTCCACATACCCTGGACAATAACGGGGAACCCATTTCCCAATCCCCTGGGTCAGTCGACGACTCCTTCTCCTCACGGAATAGACATAGAATGATGCCAGCTACGTATCCGAAGTTCAAGTGGCCTGTCTGAACCTAGAACTCAACTCACTTCCTCCAGCTTGTTGCCAGACCGACGAGGTGACAATCTCTCCCAACACGATCTGGAAAGGGAAAGAGGCTACTGCAGCTGGGAAATGAAGACATAATGGTAGTTGCAGTAGCCCAGGTGTTGAGCTTCACTGCAATCAATTGAAGGTACCTAAAGCAACATACTGCAGATACCCCCTCACCTGAGACTGCAAAGGGCGCTTTACTGCGACTGGCGTGGCGAGGCGGTCGAGAGGTCTCCATCGTCCCCGTACCCTTGGTCACCGTTCCTCAAGTGAGGCTGTTTTGCGATGGTTGCTGGTGTGACAACCCGCAGGTAGCATGCATATGCTCGGTGACGTACCCACATAGATTTACTTACCCCTTGCGTCTTTCAGACTACATACACAGCATAACGATATTCATAGGTATTCTGATTGTTTAGTCTATAAGTCAACGCTCAACACAGACCCTGTGCGGCTACAAGTATTACGCCACAAGGAACTACCCTTCTGTTTAGAGCAGCAAAAAAAAAAATCAAAAAATACAGCAACAAGTTACTCATAGTTTGTTCAGCATGCACATAATCGACATGGCCACGCATGATCTCCAATGACAATTATCTCAAGAGCAACATTTGAGTCTGCTGAGTGGGCACAAGCACTTCGGTTAAGGCTTACGGCGTCAAAGGCATGTCGACACTTACGAGATATAGCTACAGCATCGGCAAGGCAAAATCATCGAGACCAAAGGAGAATAAAGCCAAAAGTCACTCACAGCAACTGACAAGTGGCCACATCGATATCCAATAGACGTTGATGCTCCATAGCCGCTTAATGACAGCCCACTTAATACAGCACATCCCTTTCCCCGCTGCTTGCGGGGTCGAGTTGAAATCAACTTCTTTGGACGGAAGTCTGGAGCTGCCAAACTACCGTGCCACCGTCTGTGCCGCCCCTCTCCATTGCATCGATTACTGCGTAGTATAAGTGGAAGAGACAGAAACAAACAGATTCAAGTCGTACTGTGACACTTGTTCTTGCCTTGGGAGGAAGGGTCGACAGCGACGGACAAAGTAGCAGTGTGCAGACGCGAAATCGGTTTGACTCGGTGTTCATCCGGGGTATTTCTCGCCCATTAAAGTCTTCTTGTCACAAAAGTCAGGCCAGAGACAAAAGTATATCTTCAGGTCATGCGCACGAATTAGTTCCTTTCCGGGGCATGGAAGAGTTCATTTCTCCGCTAGCCAGAATAGTTTGACGAACCCGTCGACGTTTACCAGTTCATATGATGATAACCATTCGAGTTGGTGTTAGGGGAGGATGCAGTCATTGAGAATGTGTTAAGCTTTAGGAGGCTTCAGCTATCAAGTTTCGTATCATCGCCGAGACGAGTTGCAGGCTGCGGGGTCCTTCCTGTTTCGATACTGATGATTGATCATTTTCTATGAGCCTCCATATTCTGTGATTTTACGAGCCCAAAGTTCAAGGGTCTTTTAAGGATTGAAGTATTCTCATATTTCTGGAAGCGACTGCCCATGTCGAGAAACGTTCGCTCGGTTTCGGCATGGATCCTGACATGGTTGGCCTTGACTGAAGGTTGCAGGTGTCCTGAGACCACGGGCTCCAATTGCCACTTCAGGATGCGAGACGAATGTTGAGTATCGAGAGACCGTTGCGTCTGACCGCCCAAATCACCCACGTGTCGCAAAGCGAAGCCGGGATTGCTGGGTGAAAGACTACTGCCTGCTTCTGTGCCCAGCTACCCCGCGAACCCTGGTCCTGGCGTATCCTGTCCGCTCGATAGCAGAGCGTTCAAAAGTCTTTGAGTCAGTCTCGAGACATCACACCCTATCGGGTCGCGTGGTATTCACTGTAAGTACCTGAAAAGGCTGGCAGCAGCGACTTCGTTGCATGATCTGGATATGCTCCCATCCTGCCAGGAAGGAAACGTGGCGCAACCTTTCTTTTCACGAGTCAACTCCAAACGAGAAATCCTAAGATCAGATCGATTGGAGGGAAGGATTTCATTCCCCTCTGATCCATCGAAGTTAGGTATTACTGATCTATGTGATGGGCTAGTGTATCGAAGACGCCTCAAAAACGTGCCACTTCGCAGAGGGCACGGCTCAAAGTAACATTTTTGCCGTTTGGTTTCTCCACTGATGAGGCTCAGATAGATTTTTAATCTGTTAGCAGCTCTTTAAGATTGGAACTACCGAGGAAGCTTGATGATCGGCTGAGAGGAAGCTTTCCCCGTCCATCGAAAACACACTTCTTCTATGCATAAACCTCTCCGGAGTGCGGGCGTCATAGCTGCCGATTGTTCCATGAGCCAATCAATGATTGACGTTTGGTGTAGCTATCAGAGTTTAAGAATCAGGACATGGTCAAGGCTGGTTACTCCCAAAAGTCTGGGCTCGACTATAGTTTCTTCCGGGGGACGCTATCACAAGCACAAACGTTATGTGGCAATTATATACGAGACGCTTCCCTCAAGTGACATCCCCGCGGAGACCCGTTTCTCCAGACAACGAAACTTGATTGCACTATCGGATTTTCTTTACGTCGAGTCGGAGGCAATGTTGACAGCGCCCTTCCGAATAACAAAGTGATCATCTACGGGACGACTATGTCTCGCCCCGCATCGACCCGACCCCGCCGACCTATCCCGCCGGTTTACCCACATTTCCCGGTCGCCGATGCGAGATGTCTGACAAGGAGGGGGCGGCCCCCCCGCCGGAAGGCGTAGTGCCCGACTTTCAGCATCCGCAGGACGTATTGCATACCATCAATCTGGTGTCGCAGATTCTTTCCATTGTGTCTGTTAGTATCTTTATGATGCTGCGCATCTATGCGAAAACCCTCATCGCGCCGCCGTTCTACTTAGATGATTGTAGGCCTCTGTCACTGGGATCTCGTCTCGGGTCTCTATGCTGTGAAGCTTGTAAGCTGACAATTGCAGGGATGGCAGTTATCGCCTGGGTAAGTCTCTCAAATAGTCTCTCAAATGGTCTCTCAAATAAGTCGCCAAATCTGTTACCTCAATAGCGTCCAAAGCGTGAGCTGATGGGTGAATAGATATTATCAGTCGGATACAGCTCGACGGCACTCGTGAGTAAGTAATAATGTGATATGTAGGCACTTACATGGCGACTGATCCCATCTCAGTGCATCGTTATGGAGGTGGCTTTCACATTTATGAGATATCTAAGGACAATTTCGTTGGTTTCTTGAAGGTAACTACTCTTCAACCTCCTCATGCAGACATCATGTAACTCAAGTGCTAATACCGCCACAGGGCTTGTATGCGGACACACTCGTCTACGGCCCTAACTCGTATTTCACAAAACTCGCCTTGCTACTCATCGTAATCAGAGTCTTCAGACTGAACAAGAAGACTATCGTTGGTACATATGCCGTCATTGTATTCATGACTGGATACTATGTTCCGGTCCTCTTTCTCAAGATGTTTATTTGCCACCCAATCGCGGGTTATTGGGACTCAACTCTCGACGCCACTTGCTTCAATCAGCGAGCCATCTTCGTTGCCGACACTGCCGTTAGTGCCATCACGGATACTGCCGTCCTATGTCTCCCAATACCCGTGGCTTTGAGCCTGCGAATGTCATGGACAAAGCGGCTTAAGGTGATTCTCATGCTCAGCGCAGGGGGCGTCGCCACAGCAGCAAGCATTATTCGGATGATTTTAGTAATTCAACTACAAAAGTCGGATGATGAGCCGGTCGACTTTATTCGTTTTAACTTACTTGGGTGAGTCCTCATACTTTACTGCTGGGTTAGGCTAGACGCTGACGCTGAGTCTTCCCTAGGACTGCGGAAGTGAGCATCGGCATGATCTGCGCCTGTCTTCCGGCAATCAATATCTTGTTCATGCGCGGATTCAGTGGTTCGCAACAATCAAGTTGCAACACCGGCCAGAGCAGCAAAAAGTACTTTGAACTCAAATTTCTCATGGGCAGTAAGCTACAAACGCAAAACTTAACGGCAGTCGATACCACCGGGGTAACCGGGCCTGTGCTGGTAAGCACTGTTAATACAGAGAGCATGGTGCATGAACATAGGGATTCGATCTTTCCTATAGAAAGGATGAGCCGAGTAACCTCTATCAGACCAGACGATGTGGAAAGAGGCATCTGGTCGGATGAATGGTACTCCAAAGTCACAGCGTCGCCTTTCTCAGAACCAGGATCTCCTGATTGGGCTCGAAAGGGCTCCGTGGGCTTCATGGAGACAATAATAGAATTGGGCTAAGGCCTACGTGTTTCGGCATTAGGAGCTTATTGGCGTATCAGAAAATCACTTGGTGTACATCTTTACCCTCTGTTTGGTAGAGTACTTGAGCAGGACCGAATCATACATGGATGCACTCTTCAGAGGTATTAGATCAAATTACGTATTGATCTAGTCCATTGAACTTTGTAAGCCCTGATGGACATTTTCGGAACTAATCGGAATCGGAACAGAGCTGAAGATAATTGGACTGAACCCATCGAGCAGTTGATGGGATAGAGAGCTATTCTTCAGACCACCACCTCTCATGAAGTAGGAGGAAGGGATAGCGGGTCAGTGTGTCTATACAATATAAAGAGAACTAAAAGTTACAAAGAATCCTCAACAGAATCAAGCTGTCATCTTGCTAATCGGAAGCGCAATTAGTGTAGTCACCTTCCCCTGCCAATCCGTAAGCTTATCAGTCATCTCCTTGACAACCACTGGCGAGTAAGTTGTCGCGGCAGCAGTCGATTTCCAGAATGTTAGCTCGCTCTTGACATAGCTCTCGAACAACGTTCGAGCAGATGAGACCTGGCTCTCGAGATTGGCGGGGACAATCTGCTTCCAAGCTGATGCAAAATCGTAGTTGACGCCTTTGCTGACAGCATATCGACCAAAGTCGCCCCAGAGGGTGGCCAGTGAAGCATATGTCTTTTGGTATGAGGTGATGACGCTTGATTCACTTCGATACGCGAAGGTGTCAATCACATCAGACAAGATGGCGATGCGACCTGTGGGGCTGTAGTTCTTCCACGTCGCCTGGCTCATGAAGTCGCTACCAGCAACGATGAACTCTTTGTAGCGATTGAAATCGGCGTCGCAGACTTGGAGATTGACGGTGTTTGCGTTATTGAGACCTGCGTCTGACGTTCGACCAAGAAGACCTGTGAAAGCGTCATTGATGTTGCCCGCCCAATCTTGGACAACTTTAAGAGTGGTGTAAGTCTTCGAAGGCCAGGTATCCTGAAACAACTACAGAATTGGTTATGAGTTGAAAAATCAAAATTATTTCAAAAGCAACGGAAGGTTAACTTACGCCATTGAGGTCGAAGACTCCCGTAAAGGGAGCTTTACCGGCTGTGAGAGCAACACCCTTCGGCGTATTACCATCCATCATCCACTCAACTGCGTCACGGAACTCTTGCTTCTCGAACACATGCTCCGTGACCCAGTTGGTATTCGGATCAAGGTTAGTCAGAGCTGTGATTCCAACAGCGGCGCAAACACCCTGCTTAGCCACTGTGAAAGCCTTCCCAGTAGTGCGAATGATGCTGGTCGCACCGGGGTAGTTCTGAGTGTAGATGCTGCTGCTCTGCTTGCCGGGTGCACACAATTTCATAGCAACGTCTCTGGCACCGCGTTTCTCCAACGATCTCCCAAAGAGGTACGATGTGTCCATGCCAGCGAGTGCCGGATGCTCTGATTCCTCCGAGATTGTGTCATTACTGTCGAATCCCTTGTGATGCGGTCGAGCAGCTCGAATCATGTGTCGCCTCTTATTAGTTGGCGGTAGTATGCAGTTATTGTCAAAGACATCTCCTTCCTTGAAAACATTCTTAGGGCTCGAACCGCCCTCTGGGACTGTGGACAAGTCCGGCAAGTTTGCTGGGCTGGGACAAAGACTGATCTCTGGTAGCTTGGGCTCGACTGGCGTATTCGGATTACCACAGCAGAAATAGGAGTATGTCCCAGAGCGACAGCCAAAGCCATCAGTCGCGACGGTCACTTCTCCGCTCTCACAGCCGGTCTTGCAGTCCGTTGAAAAATCGAAAAAAAGGTTGGCGAGGGGGCCGGACAGTATCTGCTTCCATTGAACCCAAGCAGTGTTTCCGGATCGCCTACAAGACAGTCAGTCAAAGCTTCTGGTAGCGTTGAGTGGAATAGTACTGGCCATTTGCATTCTTTCCAAGGGACAGGATCTTTGCAGCAATAGCTCTTGAAGCCTCCGTTGTAGGCACACGTCTGCTGACCTCCCTCTCCTTGCTTCCCAGTGGTCAACTCCTTCGGCTTGTCCTTGTTGGGACAGCCGTACGAAAGGAAGGAGAATGCTCCAGCAACAGGTGTTGTGCCGAGTCCAAGGATGGAACCGAAAGTCGCGCCAGCTGAGCAAAACGGGGCAGCACCGAGCCACTCGCAAGAGTCGAGAGTACTTGTCGAATCAGTCTTGGTGCAACACAAAGACTTATGTCCAGTCCAGCATCCGTCTGTGCTTGCAGCAATTTCGATCTCCTTGCCACTGCATCGGTTTTTCGCGAGCGCACCACAGAACTTGGGGCTTCCCTTCCACTTACAAGTTGGTGGGTTCTTTGGTGGACAGCAGAAGTTGCGCTTTCCCTGATTGCATCCTAACTCAATGCCAAGTGGACTGGCGTTGCTCCCTGAACTCTCGACCGGGACGAGACCAGACGGACACGATGCACCGCATTCGCCCCAGACACACTGGCTGGGGTCGCTGCTGACTGCTTTGGCAAAGAGAGATTTCGACAAGTCGGTTCGGCCCGAAGCTTTCGCTAGAGCCTTGATGGCAGTCCCCTTAGCGTCATCTGTTGATGCAGCCCACACCATGACTCCTCCAAGACACTTGCCGTTGGCGTAGTCCATCTTCAACTTGAGCGTCTCTTCATCGTCGTAAGAGACCCACTGATTACCGCCCCAAGTGACAATCTTGACGGCTGCTGTCTTGTCTGTTGTCACTTGAGCTCCGCCCTTGTCTATGATCTCTTGGATCTCAGAGAACATCAATGTCCCAGCAGACGCGGAACATCTGCCTGGGACGCCACCGGCGCTGAAGCCACAACCGGAGGTCTTGCAACTTGGATTCGAGAGGGTGAAGCTGCGTCCGTAGAACCCCATACCCATGACGACCTTCTTCGGGTCGACATCATTCCGCCATAGAAGCTCGAGGGCACGGTCGATTTCTGTCAAGTTCGTGTGGCTGTTGACGTACGGCCCCAGATAAGGGTTTGTGCCATCCCAAGTGCCGTGTAAGTCGTAGCTCATCATGTTGAACCAGTCCAGGTATGGCTGGATGTTCTTGAGATCGAAGTGCTGAAGGTACCAGTATGATGCTGGGAGCGTGATAGTGAGGCCCTTCGTTCCCAGTGCTGCGCGCAGATTCTTGAGAAAAGTGACCAAGTTCTTGTAGTCTTCAGGTGTGCCAGAGCGTTCCTCGGCAACGGGATATTCCCAGTCGACGTCGACACCATCGAAGCCATATTTACTAGCGGAGATCTCTTGTTAGTCAAATTTCATTGATATAGACTGTTGATAAAATAGGGACTCACTCCATAAAAGACAGAAGAGATGAGAAGAAGACGTCTTGCTTCGCCTTGGATGCGGCCAGTTCAGAAAACGTGCGCTTGGTCGGCTGATCAGGGTCGTTCATACTCCAACCCCCAATGGCAATCTAATTTGCAAAAATGAGCAAAATGTCCTTCTACACACATGTGAAAATTGAAGTCTCACCCAGACTTCCATCCCAGGGTTGTAGTTCTTCAGTGCTGTGAGTCGAGGCATGAACTTCGAGTCTGAGTCTTGCATATTTGCAATCTTATACGAGGTCGGGTCAATGAAGGCGAACGCGTAGTTGAGATGAGTGTAAGCAGTGTAGAGTAAGTCCTCAGGATTCACTGAAGAAATTTTAGTAAATTGTCTCCTGTTTATCTTGGAATAGCTACTTGAAAAGGCAGTTACAGGATTACTGTAAGAGGTAATTACCGTAAAGGGCAATTCGTCTTGGAAGCGAATTGCTCTTAAGGGCAATCCATTTGGGAAAAAAACTTGCTTCAAATGATGATTGCCTTAAATGGTAATTTGAACTTACATCCATTGCAGGCCTTTGTTGTTGACCACCCTTCATAGTAGCCGATCACTCGCTTGCCTGCAGAAGAGCCACCAGGGCAACTTGGCGCCTTGACCTTCTTGTCGCCGCAGAACTCCTTGGTAGTTCCGCAAAAGCCAAACTTGGAGCAGCATACGTTGAGGGGACACTTCGCTCTCTGGCTCCAGGCGGATCCCCAGCCTGGGTCACATTCGCTCTTGGCACCGCAACTGGAAGTGCAGTTCGCGGGCGCGCAATAGCTAGGCCCAAGGCCACAGACCTAGTTCTCTCATCAGCAATTGGAACTTTCTCTGAAATTTGGATTCTGCGAACTCGAAGTCACTCACATTGTTCTTACCGCAGCAGCCAAGTTTGCACGGCCTGGTGGGGGAACAGCTGTAGTCCTGCTGAGCTATCGCTCCCGACGCGGCGAGTAGGAGACAGAACACCAGCACAGCGGGCTTGAGGAGCTTCATTTTTGCAATTGCGTACATGAACTTTCAATGCAAGTAATTTCGACTTGAAGTGCCTTCTGTTCCCGAGATAAACTCATTCTTTTGTTTCTTCGTGGAATCCCTGGAAAAGGAGACAACCCCGGCTGGCCCGGATTTCCAGGGGGCTTGGGGTTTGATCACATTGTGACTAGAGACAAGTCGTATCACATTCGACCTGTGTAGGACTTTGTGGAAGTGACGATCGACTTAGACCTCAATCAACCTGCAACCTCCCTTCTTGCAAATAATTTGGGGTCGTCAAGCAAGACATGGGTGACTGTTGGTATCGTGGCAAGCGTGAATCGTTCTGATCGTACTCTGTCCTTCTAACAGCTTCTGACTGTGTCTCAACTAGTATGTTGCAATTTGAAAATGACTTTGCCATCGGCAAAAAAAATCATCTGATGTCCAAGTTTACAACGCTGGTTTGGCGCCACAAGTGTGATGGAGCAAGGGGACACTTCGGCTAAGGTGCTTCATGATGTCGTGTTTCTATCGCCCTGCGTATCCGTCTACTACCTCATTATACATCATATGCGCCATTTAGTAATAGTAAGACAATTCTTGCCAGTCGATCAACCACACAGGATGGTATTCTATGTGCAGTGTGTTGACTTAGGTGAGGTGGTAAGCTTATGCATGTCAGATTGACTCAAATGATTGTACCTCGGGGAGCAAAGACAGACTTGAGACAACGATCAGCGTTTGACTCTTCCTACAGCTGCTTGGCAATATTTCAGCTGATGTCTTACTAAAAGAAGCTTTCTATATGACAGAACCAAACCAGGAGTCCAGGTTCTATGGTTGTGGATATGCGAGGTCGGATTTCCGAAGTAATCCTCGAAATTACTAGGTATTCCATACTTACATAGAACGAGCTCTCCTGTTTCCGTCCACCGTGAGGTTGTCTGTTAGGAACACAGCTCGAAAAAAGAACCATTCTACTCACCAAAACTGAAAGTAGTTGAACTCATTATGAAGTCGATCGTGGCTTTGAGCCTAACTATGTCTTTATGGCCTATGGCCATATTTGCTGACCCAAGTGTGAGTTCTCCTGGACTGCTCTGGAGATATCCGGGAGCAGCATATCAGATACAAACTTTCAATTGATCTCTTTAGTTCTTCTTCTTCACAAACCAATCTGGCACAGTCTTCGATGGCATCTCGTCCGGATGCAACTTGGCACTATCAGCCCCTGTTCCGGAATGCCCCCGAGAACTCTTGAACCTCCTCGGAGGTGGTAGCTACCACACGGTACTCAATGAGACTGTCATGGGCGTTCTTTGCAGATCTGAGTGTTCTCCAGCATTGGCCACTTACAGGAGCAACGTCGTTTCTCAGTGCGCCAAAGATCCTCAACCTAGGAGTGGCTATCCGCCGACCTACTGGGTTGATTCTGTCACTGCTGTTAGAACGCAGATGTGTCTGAAAGACTCTAAGACCGGAGAGTACTGCACTCGTGAGTACTTAGAGATCTCTTGTTAAACACCCCGTGTCCGTGATCTGACTTCGCACGAAGAATACCTCGAGCGAGTACTCGGCGATGCTGCAAGCCCAGCGGACCTGCTCGGCGGGTACTCCACTGCTCAACTCTGCTCCGAGTGTCTGGTCAACCTATTCCGCCATCAACAATCGACCCCGTACTCAAACTATGACCCCGAAATGGCTCAGGCGTGGGCCGCCATTCAGTCAAAGTGCAGTCTCAGTCTTCCAACAGCAACTCAAACATTGAAGACAAATGTCACGTCGCTTGGCAACTATGCTCCGCCTGGTTATGCCACTGCAGTCTGCGTTGCAGGCCGCACGTACACGGTGGCTGCTGGTGACAACTGCATTGATATCTCAAAGAAGAGCGGCGTTTCGACGGGCTCGTTGATTACGCTAAACAGCCTGCGGATGGACTGCACGAACATCTTTGCCGGTCAAGTGAGTTCTTGAGCTCTCGTTGCGGAGGACCATTGCTAGGACTCGGTTTGGCTGAAATTGAGCATTTATAGATTCTCTGCCTTCCACCTACTTGTACTAGCTATGTGGTCCAAGGCGGCGACAACTGTTTGAAGGTCGCCTCGCAGTTCAACACTACCTACCAGCAAGTAATCGCTTGGAATCCAAGTAAGCCTTTTCTTTTGGAAATAGTGGCTGAATTCGAATGTCACTTTCTAACCGCCAAATCAGCCGTCGATAGCTACTGCACCAACTTGATCGCAGGCCAAAATATCTGCGTTGGGCCACCTGGTGGTGTTCTCAACTTCACGACGATCCCAGGTGCAACCGTAACTAAGACTGCGATCTACGCAACCGCTACGGCTGATAGACCAGCGCCTGTCGCGAGCGGAACCACGACCAAGTGCGGCAAGTACTACAAGGTCCAACTGGTATGTATGCCCCTCTAAACTGTGCAGGTGCAAGGCCACATGGACTCAGACAAAGCTGGTCCTTGGGGCCCAAGTATCAACCAACACTAACTGTCAACTCTTGCATTGATAGGGCGACTACTGTGAGCTTGTGGCTTTGAACCAGACAGTTTCGCTGGATCTATTCCGTGCGATAAATCCCCAGGTGAGTTGAAAGATAACCTACACGCCCAAAGGCCGGATTTCAACTAACGGCGTGGCCCAGATCAACAGTGGGTGCACTAATTTACAGGCCAATGTGTTCTATTGCGTACTGCCCACCCAAGACTGGAACACCACAGCGACGTCAACAACCGTGCCAGCCCCAACAACCACACCTCCCGGGACCACGGACAAGTGCTATCAGTGAGTCTTTCGGTTTTTGCTGCAAATTGACAACTATTCCAGCTCTTCGAAGCTCACTGTTTACTTTTTTTTCTCCAGGTGGTATGTGATCCAGTCCGGAGACTATTGCGCCAAAGTCCAGGACAAATTTGCGATTTCTTTCGAACAATTTCGTGCATGGAACCCTGTAAGCCTAGGATGCACTGGAAACCACTGTTAAGTTGCTAACAAGGAGTCCTTAGGCAATCGCAAATGACTGCTCCAATCTGCAGCTGGGGGTGGCCTACTGTGTCCAGGGTGCTGCTTCGCTCACAGCACGAGCGACGACAAATGCCGGCAGCCAGTCCGACCCTGACCAGGTCGCTCATTATCGGAGGAACGGAGTCGGACCCATTGAGACGGGAGTGCCTGAATCTGAGGCGGGAGGCGTTGCTATCGGATGGCCTGGTGTGGACTCTCCAAGGTTGAGAAGGGCAATGGGATTGTCAGAGAAAACGGAGTTGTAGAGGAATTATTCTTTGCTGGTACAGGCGCCATCCCTTACATCTCGCACGTCCAGATCGTGCGCTTCCCAAGAATTATATCCTGATTAAAACCTACGGCGCTTTCGCATTCTTTCCGGAGACGGTGCCGTAGACCACCATACCTTTTCCAAATCCTCGCTTCCAGAGGTGCCGGTCTCGGTATCCGCTAGACCTTCTAAGCCCCGGACACTTCGCGTGATCCTTCTCAAAGGCATGATATCCGAGTCAAGGAGCCCCCAAAACTCTTCAACAACCGTCTCTGCGGCAACCTTGAAGATTGGCTTAAACCACTCCCTCTCTTCATGACCCTCCTCTAACCCGGGGTTCGTGTCTGCAGCGACCGCGAGAAAGAATGGTGCCGATGTCCGCCACCACTTGGACTTAGTCGTCGGTCGGTCGCCTTCGCCCAAATCCAGCACAGATGCTATCACAGCTGCAGTGGCAACAAGAAATACCTGCTCCGAAAACCCGGCTGGAAGTTCGGATTTCATGTTGCCGAACTTGTCGCGCAGGGCATCGGCAGTGGCACCGGCCAAGGCCGGATCCTCCACCCACCGTATCTCGAATTTTGACTCCGCATCCTTGAAGTACTCATGCACATCGGCTCCGTCTGCGTCCCTCTGGAAGGGAATCTCAACGATTCTCCGGACCTGCTTGGCGAAGGTCTCCCATCGTTCCTGGTCATCATAGCAGGCTGTTCGGAAGGCCACCATTCCCCACGTCTGACCTTCGTGGCGCTGCTTCCAATGCTTCAGCCAGTTCGGGGGCATGTACTCGATCTCCGACTTCTTTGTAGTCTCAGCAGTCGACTCGTCGCCAGTTCTTTCTGCATCGCGTTGCTGCTCCTCGAAGACGTGCATCGCCAGCTGCCCTACACCTTCCTCTCCTAGGACATCCCGTAATCCGGCCTGCATCTTCAGCAGTTCATCCACGGGAAGAGAGGTCACGTCGTCCGCGGTTGCATGTCGATAGCGATTGTAGTTCCAGCCTGGTGGCCAGTAGGAACTTGATGCATCCGAGTAGACAGGTTGGGTGGTAGGAGTGGCAACCCTGGGAGTATCTGGCTCTGGGGCGTCTTCGGCGAAGCTGGGACGGGGCATCTTGTTTATCGATTGATTCTCTCAAGAGAGTCTGCCACTGATCAATACATGGAAGTGTAGGTGTTGGAATTTGTATGTTAGACGTCAATGAAAAGCTGGCGAGCAATTTGAATTGAACTGATGTCAGGAGCAGGAAGCAACCCCTCCGATGACATGCACTTTCGACATGCACTTTCCCTTACTTACACCACCTCCTTACATAAGAGCGGTACGTACTCCCAGACATCAATCAACCCCTGATTGACTGAGTCTCACACTCACTCTCACTTCCACTCCCACTTCTCACTCAAACATCACACACGTCTGCGTCAACTTCATGCAGTCTCACTCTGCACGTCGTCATTTAATATCACGCTGCCGGTCTCAACTGGGTCTAGCCCTTACGGAGATGAGATACATCCGATGATCGGCTGATGAACAAATATTTCCAGTAATAACATAAATGATGATGCAAACCCATTTAGGGACATACTGAGGTGGCCAGTCGTGCACTGGAATAAGTCTGAGTGTGATCATTGTTTGGTGCTCAAATTGATTCAACAAAGGAGATATATAAAATTAGATCTAGACACATTCTAAGGGTATTGTTCGTAATGAATCATGCTTGGACACATCATAGA